GTTACTCCCCCAGTACAGCATGTTCTCTGCTCCAGAAATCCATCTTTGCCCACAAGAACTACAGGTTCTCTCGTGTAGCGTTTATTTCACCAGAAGAAATATAAGTTTCTCTACAAGAACTGAGGAAATCGATGCTTCGCCACAAGAACTTTTCCTAATGAAATTGATGTTTCTTTTCCTGAAGGAATCGATGTTTCTCCACAGCGATTTCGTTTTTTTTCCTGAAGAAGCCATGTTCTCCAGAAGAAATCCATGTTTCGATGTTCAGCCATGTTTTCTGCAGAAGAACCCGATGTTTCTCCACAACATGTTCATCTTGTTTCCGAAGGAAATCGATGTTTCACCATAAGAACTTCATGTTTTTTCCCGAAGAAATTGATTTTTCTCCACACCCATTTCGTCTTTTTTCCTGAGGAGATCGCGGTTTCTCTGCAAGAAGTTCATGTTTTTTCTTGAACAAATCGACGTTGCATTTTTCACGTGCGAAAAAGCGTATGTTGCTCCGAAAGAGCTTCATGATTTTCCCTGAAGAAGCCGATGATGCTCCGAAAGAGGTTCGTGATTTTTCTTGAAGAAAGAGATGTTTCGGAACAAGAACTTCGTGTTTTATCGTCAAGAAAGCGACGTTTCTTCACAGGAACTTCATGATTGTTCCTGAAGTAAAGGATGTTTCTCCATAGGATGTTCATGATTGTTTTTCAAGAAACCGATGTGTCGCCAGAAGAACTTCACGTTTTTTCGTGAAGAAACCGATTTTTCTCCACAAGAACATGAGAAAATTTTGTTCCACCCACCAATGCACCTGCTAATTTTCCTGTGGTATTCGATGCATCGTAGAGAGATTCGTCCACCACACCCACTTCTTCTTTACCAATTATTTCGCCTTTTTCTTTTCCACTTTCTTCGATGTATCTACTTAGTATAAACTTTTTATTTGTTTGAAAGAAGGAAAAGAGTAATATACTGAACAAAATCACAGTCAATGATTGCATTATATCGCTCAATATACCATCTTTATAAAAGAGACAGATAAAGGAAAAAAAACAAAGAAAGAAGAAAGAAAGAAGACAGATGTAACTATATCAGATAAAGATAGAATTCCGTGTGTGAGTGAGTTTCGTTTTTTGTTTTTTTTGTGAATGTAACGTCACTTGCAAAAAAAATAAAATAAAACAATGCATAGATGTGCATATAATGCATCTACTATGATGTGCATATGTATCTACTTCTTTAGGAGCAGGAGCGAGTTTATTCAGGTGAGCTGTAGCAGATGATGTAGTGGGAGATACTAACGATTCTGGTGACACTTTTGGATGTAATGGGTAAATCCAATTACCAAGTTTTAACAAACCACATGTTTCATCAGCATTCTCACTAAACATAAAATACTTTGAAAGATTGCTGCAACTAATAGAACGTTTTAACAAACGTCATTTCATATATTGATAACGGTAATGTATCGAATGTCGTTACTATCTTTCCATCCGCCGCCATGTAAAATAATTTGGCTCCTTGTTCAAGGTCGAATAAGACGACAGCGTTCCCAGGAAGAAATTTTGGACCTCCGCAGGTCCTTCTAATCTATTAAGAAGTTCTCATAAGTTAGATTCATGCGACACAATAAGGCATTCGAATGCATTAAAGTAGACAATTTCGCGCCGCTAATACGTGTGAACGCATTAAAAGGACAAAAATGGAACCTGTGTCGCAGGTCCGAAATAGTGTCCGAAGCCTTACAATGCGTTAAATCTGAATTTTATACCAAAAATGTCTCCGAACGCCTTATTTTGTCTAAAAATTGCCAAAACTAAGCCTTCGGAAGGCTTAGAATGTGTCAAAAGAAGGTTTTCGCAGCCTGCGGATATTAGTTCGCATTAAAAAATCCGAAGGGGTTAAAATGAAGGTTTTTAATGCGTTTAAAGGAGTGCAATGTAATTACAAACGCCTTTACATACATTAAAAAAGTTGTCGAACACACACAGGCAGTGAATATCTGTCATGCCTTTGGACGTCTTCCACATCTTAATGCGTGCTGTAATTGTGAACGTCTTCGCATATATTAAAAAATGGAACGCACGTCAGCAATGAATTTTTTTACTACATCTGAAGGCATGCTAACTTTTTTATGGGTTCGAAATAATGCGGTGTAATGACCAAGGCCTTAGCATTCATTAAGAAAGCGGAACGCGTGGGAAAAGCGAATGTTTTTGATGCCTTTACATGTAATCCGTTATTTAATGAATGTTAACTGATGCAATATAAAAGTGCTTGCATGCATTAAGAAAGCGGAACGCGTGGGAAAAGCGAATGTTTTTGATGCCTTTACATGTAATCCGTTATTTAATGAATGTTAACTGATGCAATATAAAAGTGCTTGCATGCATTAAGAAAGCGGAACGCGTGTGATTAATTATTTTACATTAATTAAACCTTTTCGCATGCGTTACATTTTTTTCCTTTATCCATTCCCTAGTTGATGATCCACCAGGGAGACTAACTGACTCACTAGATGCACTATGATTCTACTGAGACTACTGACTCACTTGAATCATGGTCTATGGCTTATAGACCTGCAACATCGGTTCTCTAAGTCTTCGAGGACCGTAAGAACAGGAACATTGAACTAAACTTTCAAGTTAATTTTAGTAGGGAACAGTGCGCACGACATGTTGAATGTTTGCAAAAATTACGCTTTGGCATATTTTCCAAGACTTTCCAACTTTTTGGTTTACGAAAACTCTTCTTCCTCCAATTGACAAAATTTTCGGTTTCCGGAAGTCTGTTTTTTCAAGTTGACAAAGTTTTGGGGCACCAAATACAGTAGAATCCATCAAAGTCACATGGGTTGTCAAACTGGAAAAAGCGGAACTTCTGGATGCCGAAACAATTGATAAGTTGAAAAAGCGGGATATCTGCAGAATGTTTTGCATGCATTAGACTGCATTAAAAAAAAATTATTAAGTTCTAAAGCATGAGAATCGAAAGGAGAGATTTTTAACGGCTTTCGTTTCATTCGTTGTCCTTAAACGTGTAAGACTGCAAAGAAAGCTTGTGGGCAGTTTTCCATATCAAGCATATTCCAAGGCCTTCTAATGCATTATAGACGAAAAATATATTTTTAATGGATTCAAACGCGTTATAAACGTGAAAATGGCTTTTAATGCAATCTAAGGAGTTTCGAGATACACACATTGTAACGAAGTTCCGTTTTTTCCAACTTGCATTTCTAAGCGTTGAACTCCTTCGAACGCATTATGCATAATGTTCGTTTATAATGCGTTAGAATTCGTTCGAAGCCCAAACTTCGCATAGGTGTCTCATAAAATTTCCGAAGTTGTGCAAATGCATTAATCAATTATTACCTCTGCAATTAAACAGTGGTCGCGCTCATTTTTTTAATGAATTTTGGACGGAACAAGATGAAGACCTGCGGTTTCCACTGTCTTGTAGCCAAGACCTGACAGTATCTTTCTATGTATAAATCAATTCTATCAATGAGGTCTGCCACGGTGTACCTGATCGACGTTCCAAAGATGAGTTTGCAGCTTTCTAACCTTTCATACACGTCTACTGTTTGAAAACACGCCTAACATAGATAGTCATCTAATCCACATATGTGGCAAAACCCGGCAGCTCCACCTGCAATCATTCGGACAGGAGTGAATTTTTCCTGAGACAGCTTAGAACCAGGCATGGGCGAGTCCGGACTGGAAGATTTTTTGGCGGACTCGGACTTGAGTTTTTGTAGTTTGAGTCCGATCTATTCAACTTTTAACACAAATGAACAGAGAAAAACGAAAAGTGAAATAACACCACCTTCTATTTCAAACTTTGTTCGGGTGGCGGACATGCAAAGTAACCTTATTTTCGAAAAATCAAATATCTATCCAGGGCTTAGTAAATTAAAAAAGAGAAATAAACCGCCCTCGTCGAAAAAGAATCTAAAACATTTCCGGACTCGACATGAACTCAGGACTCGGACTGGGTACTCCCTGGGACTCGCCCATGCCTGCTCAACATAAAACGCATTATTTCTCTGCTTTTAAACTATTTTCAAAGCTTTAGCTACAATTTAAATCGTTTTTTCTTCTCTACGGGATATACAGTAGCGTTATTTGGTTGAGGATGACAATTATACAGAGTGGCCTGGAATGGCGCTTGTAAAGCGTTGCAGGCCTTCGAACCGACTATTGCGTGCGAAGGACTTCGCGATATGATAGCTAAGGCGTTCACATTTATTAAAGAACAAAATAGGCGCAATAATGAATTTAAGCACTTACAAAAAACTGGAATGAATGAACATGCGTTGATTTTTAACGCATTCCCATGCATTAAATGACGATGACGGCAAACAGTTGTTTACATGCCTTCGTATCGTTAACTTGCCCAAACGCGTTCAAAATTATTATTCTGCTAACGCCTTCTACTTGATGTATGAATTCAAGTCAGTTAAGAAATGGGAAGGCGTTCGAACGCCTTATTTTCTAACGCCTGAAAAGCCTTAGAGGCCGAAAAGCTTTCTAAAGAGACTACAATGCATTAAAATTTTACATACATTATAGATGTTTATAAAAATAACGCATACGAACGCCTTTAGTCCACATGGGTAACTCCAGAGAACGCATTAAAAATCTCAAAGCCGTGCAAAGCCTTAAAATGTGTCAAAAGAAGGTTTTTAACGCCTTAAAGGCGGAAAAAAAATTTTTAATGCCTGCGAGGGTACAAAATTTCTTCTTGGGTGCAGGCCTTCGAACCGCCTATTGCGTGCGAAGGACTTCGCGATATGATAGCTAAGGCGTTCACATTTATTAAAGAACAAAATAGGCGCAATAATGAATTTAAGTATTTACAAAAAACTGGAATGAATGAACATGCATTGATTTTTAACGCATTCTCATGCATTAAATGACGATGACGGCAAACAGTTGTTTACATGCCTTCGTGCCGTTAACTTGCACAAACGCGTTCAAAATTATAATTCTGCTAACGCCTTCTACTTGATGTATGAATTCAAGTCAGTTAAGAAATGGGAAGGCGTTCGAACGCCTTATTTTCTAACGCCTGAGAAGCCTTAGAGCCAGAAAAGTTTTCTAAAGACGCTACAATGCATTAAAATTTTACATACATTATGGACGTTTATAAAAATAACGCATTCGAATGTCTTCGGTTCACACGGATAACTACACAGAACGCGTTAAAAATCTCAAGTCGTGTAAAGCCTTAAAATGTGTCAGAAGAAGGTTTTTAACGCCTTAAAGGCGGAAAAAAAAATTTTAATGCCTGCGAAGGACCTGCGAGGGTCCAAAATTTCTTCCTGGGTAACACACAAACATTTAGTCCTCGATCAAATTCCAATTACGTCGCGGGTGCCAATGCAGAATTTCATATTACAAAAGATACACTCTTTAAAATTACATATCAAGGTGCAGCTGATAATTTTGATAATAATGCTATCAGTATTGAACTACAAATATTGGTTAATGATCATATAATCAGTCGGACTGAGCTGAAACCAAATACCGGCGGAGATGGTTTGGTTCATTATAAATTAACGCAATTTGATGACGAGGACCAAGAAGAGGACCTAGGAGATTTGCACTTAGCAACATTTTCTCCTGAATGAAAACAGAATCCTTTTATTCAGGACTCTTTTCTCGCTTTTAGGGTTTCGTCCTTTGGAGTGAATAAATAATGGACAGAACCAGCGCATCCTAAACTCCTGTCTCTTTACTTCTGAAAATATTCCCAAAGCATGCATTCCAACCCGTGCGCGTGACAGAAAATCTCTTCTACTTTTTTATTGATAAAACCCTTTGTTATATGAAACACTTCGCTATCTTCACCTGTATAAGTCCTATACACTGAATAACCTTGTGCAGTTATAAACCCCATGACGGTATGTACCAAACATTAAACATGAAAACTAACATACATATTTACTTGTGCTTTAAAATATTCTACAAGGAGATGACAAGAATACTTTCAGGCTTTTGAGACTCAATAAGAGGACGAGAAAGAATGGACCTTGTAGAAAGCGGAAACGCGATGCCTCGATGACCTAGTGAATATCTCCGCTGAGTGACCTTCGGCTTACAAACTGATCTTTGGGTCTAGAAACTGTCGCACTCGATACTTTGTGACTCGCTTTTTGATGCTGTTACTCAAGTTCTGCTCTTCAACTTAGACTCCAGAGAATTTTCAGCTGTATAAGTGCACCTTCGAATTCTTTCTTACATCGAAAGACCTCCGAAGGTCAGATGTGTTTCCGAAGTTTTTTGATTTTAATCGAGATTAGCTAAGATTTTCTTAAGCTCCGATAAAAATCGAACTTTACGAATTTAAGCATTTTACACAATAAGAATTTGAGGAGTTAGAGGAATACCGACATAAGCTTGATCGGTTACAGGGATGCTCTGAAATACCCCGAAATTTTACTAGTTTGTACAGAATACTTTCAATGGTATGCCTATGCAATAAAAAAGTCATCGGTCAAATATTGACCTCTGTACGACTTGGGAACGCCTAATTCAGTCTTGGAAGGCCAAAGAACATCCTGTTTCTGGTGCAAAATGGCCTAATTCTTAGGCAAAACAGCCTAAATTTCAGGAAAAGTAGAATATCTTAGGAACGAAATAGCATTTAATAAAAGCGAGTCGGAGAACCGATAGAGCTTAGGAAGCTCTATCAAATGACATACTGCACGCCTTCCTCCGATTTACTTTGACAATTGAAAAATTTACTTTTTACACTACAGTGTCACTAATTACTGGTAATTTTGACTAATTAGTGATTAAAAGGTGCTCAGAGGAGTCATTTTAAATATCTTTCTGCATGGAATTATATCTGCAAACAATGCTCTACAAGGCTTCGCCAGAATCAACTGAATGTAACAATATTCATACGAAAAACTAGAAAGTTTTTAAAAAATGTCCTTCAGCCTAAAAAGTTTAATGAAATTTGAACCTGATTACTTAATAACGGATTAGGTAGATGAAAGTACTCAAGGTAGCTGAAACAAAGACGACTCCGTGTGTGACACAACCAAAAAATTTAGGGAAATGACTTTTTATGCGGCTCACTCTCATGCCTTCGGTCTATATTGTCGGAATAATTGATGCTTAGATTACGTAAGACTGATTACATTGATAGAACATGATCGCACACGGGATTGTCAGTTGCTTTTCTATCTTCTTTTCTTGTGTAATGTGTAGATATCATTTATCATTTATATATTGGTTTCTTTTTTTATCTAGTATATAAGGTACATGCTTCGATCTAGTCGACACTTTGATTATTCTGTCATGCCTTTTTCTGTCTGACTGAAAATAGACTGATATTCTAAAGGGCGTGTACAAAATAAAGTTATATATGTTGTAGCTGGTGTTCTCCTCGAGAGAACTATATGCGATTTTTTTCTTGTCAAGTTACAACGGACATGTTGATGATATCCCGTATTTAAATAGCTCAAATATTAGAAACTAGTCAATTTCTAAATCATTGATAGTTTCATGACTGTGTCTCTGCTTTTGTCATTTTATATTTTAGATTATTTAGCTAGTATGCCAAATAAGTTATTCAGCATATCCGATGATTCAAACCATATACATGAACGAAACTTTAAGAATACACCGTTAAGCAAGAAATAATATGCTAAAGCTCAAAGACCTAAAAACTATATGAAAATCCTGATGCTAGCCATCGTGATGTCATTAGATTATTTCTTTCAATTGTTATTTTCTAAAATTCTTCCTTTAAATTCTTAATTTCTTAAATCCTTATATTCTTATTTCCTTTAATTCTCAAGTTCTTGTTTTCTTAAATCCTAACTTTCTTATCTCCTGTAATTCCTTAAATTCTTATTTTGTTTGATCCTTATTTACCTATTTTCTAATTTCATCAATTTCCTTAAATTTTATTTGATTGAATCCTGCAGCACTTATTGTCCTATGTGCGCTATTTCCTTGAAATGCTCTATTTCCGCTATATTATAAAACTCTCCTTTCCCTACTGTAGAACTGCCAAATGAGCACTTGTAAGAAACAAATCGTTAACTTGTTGGGTCTGTATTATCTAGACAGAACACATCTTATTTAGTAAACTGTGTATTATCAAAATAATGATATATGGACATCTATGAGTAGAAACCACATTTCTACACATACTACTTCTACTTTCGCTAACAGGACTTTCTCTCATCTAAGGACAATTTCTTCATATTCGCAGGAATTTCTCTGATGATCAAACCACGAAACTCACACTCCACGAGAATTTCTCTCTTTCAACGCGCACTTTTCTTCTCCCTTGAGAATTTTCCCTTGCCTAACAGGAATTTCTCTCATCTAACGAGAATTTCAGGCTAGTCTAACCGGAATTACTCTCTATCCACGGGCACTTCTCTTCTCCTTCGAGAATTTCTCTCCTGGCTAAAAGGAATTTCTCCCATCTGACGAGAATTTCTTCCCATCCACAGGAATTTCTCTAATGATCAAACCACAACACTCAGACTCCGCGCGAATTTCTCTCATTTCACGCGAACTTCTTCTCTCGCACGAAAAATTCTCTCAGGCCTAACACGAATTTCTCTCATCTAACGAGAATTTCTGCCTTGTCCAACAGGAATTACTCTCTTTCCACGAGAGCTTCTCTTCTCCCTCGAGAATTTCTCTGTTGGCTAAGAGGAATTTCTCTCATCTAACCAGAATTTCTTTCTATTCACAAGAATTTCTCTCTTTCCGCGGGAATTTCCCTTCAGGATCTCTTGAGAATTTCTCCGTTGCCTAGCAGAAACTTATCACATTGAACGAGAATTTCCGGCTTGTCTAACAGAAATTACTCTCTTTCCACGGAAACTTCTCTTCTCCCTCGAGAATTTTTTCCTATTCACAGCAATTTCTCTAATGATCAGAACATGGAACCACGATAATGATCAGACTTCACGAGAATTTCACTCTTTCCGCGAGAACCTCTCTTCGCCCTTGAGAATTTCTCCATTGCCCTCCAGGAACTCCTCTCACCTAACGAGAATTTTCGGCATGTGAAACAGGAATTTTCTCTCTTTCCACAAGAGCTTCTCTTCTCCCTGGACAACTTCTCTCTTGGCCAACAGGAAATTGTCTCAACTAACGAGAATTTCTTCCCACTCAAAGGAATTTCTGTAATGATCAGACCACGACCGTCAGACTCCACGAGAATTTCTCTCGTTCCACGACTATCTTCCCGTGGAATCAGGAAAATTAACGTGGAGTCTCGTGGTTTGATCATTAGGGAAATTCCTGTGAGCCTAGAGAGAAATTCTCGAGGGAGAAGAGAAGCTCCCGTGGAAACAGAGAAATTCTCGCGGAGTCTGACGTCGTTCTGCTTCTGTCTTGTCCCACATGGATTACTCTCATTCCAGGGCCACTTCTCTTCTCCCTCGAGAATTTCTCTCTTGGCCAACCGGACTTTCTCTCATGTAACGAGAACTTCCTGCTATTCACAGGACTTTCTCTAATGATCAGAACACGAAAGTCCACGGGAAGTTCTCGTCTCCCTTGCCTAGCAGGAATTTCTCTCATCCGACGAGAATTTCTGGCTGGTCTAACAGAAATTACTCTCTTTCTACGGGACATTTCTCTAATGATCAAACCGCGAAAGTCAGACTCCACGAGAATTTCTCTCGTTCCACGGCTGTCTTCTCGTTAGATGAGAGAACTTCCTGCTAGGCAAGGGAGAACAGAAGCTCTCGTGGAAAGAGAGAAATTTTCTTGGAGTCTGACTTTCGTGTTCTGATCATCAGAGAAATGTCCCGTAGAAAGAGAGTAATTTCTGTTAGACCAGCCAGAAATTCTCGTCAGATGAGAGAAGTTCCTGCTAGGCATGGGAGAAATTCCCAAGGGAGAAGAGAAGTTCCCGTGGACTTTCGTGTTCTGATCATTAGAGAAAGTCCTGTGAATAGCAAGAAGTTCTCGTTACATGAGAGAAAGTCCGGTTGGCCAAGAGAGAAATTCTCGAGGGAGAAGACAAGTGGCCCTGGAATGAGAGTAATCCATGTGGGACAAGACAGAAGCAGAACAACCGTCAGACTCCGCGAGAATTTCTCCGTTTCCACGGGAGCTTCTCCCTCGAGAATTTCTCTCATCTAACGAAAATTACGTCTTATTCACAGGAATTTCTCTAATGATCAAATCCCGAAAGTCAGACTCCACGCGCATTTCTCTCGTTCCACGGGAGCTTTCCTTCTCCCTCGAGAATTTCTCTCTTGGCTAACAGGAATTTCTGTCATCTAACGAGAATTTCTTCCCGTTCACAGAAATTTCTCTAATGATCAAACCACGAAACTCAGACTTGACGGAAATTTCTCTCCTTCCGCGGAAACTTCTCTTCTCCCTGTATAATTTCTCCCTTTCCTGGCAGAAACTTCTCGCATCTAACGAGAGTTTCTGGGTTGTCTAACAGGAATTACTCTCTTTCCACGGGAACTTGTCTTTGTCCCTCGAGAATTTCTCGCTTGGCTAACAAGAATTTCTCTCATCGAACGAGAATTTCTTCCCATTCACAGGAACTGGTCTAATGATGAAGGTGTTAATTCAACAAATGAAAATACAGCAGAAAAACTCGAATATCTTTCTGGGCAAGATGATGCTAAGTATATTCCCAAAGGGCATTTTGATGTTCCATTATTTCGTGCTTGGATTGAAAGTAAAAATTCTCTTCTACGACAACGATTCTTTCAACGTAAGTTTACTGTTGAATTCTTCAACTTCATTGAAAATTGATTTAGAATATACTCGTGTTCGTCGTTTATCACCAATTGATGCTGAAATTCGTTTAGCCGAACGTGTTGATGCTTTATTTTGTCGTGCCAATGAAGTTAGCAGTGGTCTTTGTCTTTTTCTAAAGGAAATTCGCGATGTTTATGATGGTGATTGAATTTATTATTTCTGTTTGGGTATTCAACATTATTTACGTGAAAGTCGTCTATTGGGTTCATCACGTCGACATAATTCATCTCATTTCTATCGAACGGAATCGATCTTTTTGATGGAACATTTAATTCATTTCAAACAAAACTTCATTCAATTCTTGTTCGTTTTTGTCATCATCGTGATCCGGAATGACCATTGTCTTTATGTGGTCCGACGAGTGATCATGTCAATGATCGACCTTCACGAATCGAAGAAGAATTGTTATGGGAAGCGAAACAATTAGGTGCACGTACACCTTGGGCATTATTAAATACAATTTTGTATTTCAATACGAAATATTTCTTTCTCAAATCGGTGGCCGATCATCAAGTTCTTTCGTTTTCCAATGTTCGACGACATTACAAATGAAATGTCGGACCTCATGGTGAAGAATACGGCAAATCAGTCTATGTGAGGTTAGTCGAGTTTTTTTTTAGCGAATAAATTGAATTGAAATTGTTTTAGATATTATCCACCGTCGACAACAATTCACAGAATGGAAGAACAACAACTGTTTTATGAACAAGTGGGGCGTGAGGGTGATGGATCACATGTTAACACGTATCAAAACGGTTCGAGATGTTAACGATATTCATCTATTGATGAGTCAAACACTGTTCGAGAATACGGGCACCGGTGGACGACCGTAATTCATCTCTCGGCAATCTTTTGTACAATATTTCTTTTTTTGTGCATTTCCCGTTCATAGTTTGTAAAAAAACAACAACAACAAAGAACATCATTGTAGACTATTCGTTGAATTCAACATTTTCATCAGTCAATCGATATCGATTTATTGTTAAAACCAAGAAGAAAAAGCAGATCTCAGAATCAGTAAGATCTCTATGATCCAAAGAAATTCGATGGAATTCGGAGTTGATTTTTCTCCCTTAAAAAACAGTTCAACAGACTAATCTTGTCGCAGAATTCGAAAAATAATGTTTTCTAGATTCGTTGACTTTCGAATGAAATAATAGAGTTTCCAACAGGTATTATTGTGTCTTTATTGGTAGTCAAGATTATTTCGCAGTTGATCAGCTCTGCCAACTGTACACTGAAAAGAAAATGATAGGTCACTTTCTTATTTTTAGATAGTATAGTCAACATGAGTGATCGTCGTGGAAAATGTCGAGAACGTTTACGAAAGGAACATGCCAGACTTACGGTTAACACAACTGCTAACAATATGGTCAGTTTGGAACAACAAATGAAAATAATTCAAGCAGATTTTTCACCAGATTGCATACCCGTATCTTTTATTATCGGTGAACATGAAAATACATATTTTGCTCACCCATCCATGACAATCAACGAATTATTAGTCAGTCAATCATTGTAAGATCGAATCAAAAGTGAATGTGAAAAAGTGTCAATTGATTGGAAATTACTCGATTCGCCAACTATAGTGCTGCTTATTAACGGTGCACGAACCGTTGAACAATGGGTGAACAATAACGCTCAAAGTCCTTTGTACATTCTATTCAAATATAAACAAGAACTACGTGAGAGAAGAGCTGAACAACAAACACATTTGGTTGAAATCGTTCAGTTACAATCATCCATCATTTGTGAACCGGTAGATTCCGTGAGTGAACTCAGAAACGTGATTGAACGACAAAATATTCGTATTGAACAGCAGAAAAGTTGTCTTGAGCAACAAACTACTCGTCTGGAGGAATAAACTACTCGTCTGAACCAGCTAGAGGCTCGTGTTGATGAATTATTGAAATGTATTAAGAAGCAATATGTTACGATCAAAGAACAAAATAGTACAATACAATCATTAAAATTAAACGTACGTTCGCTGTGTATTACGGTCAAACCATTAGTCTATCTGCATCGTCGTATACTCATTGAGAAATTTAGATTATCAAAAATCTATTAGCCTCTAGCCACATGTGTTGTCGTCTCTAAGATCAGCCAGAGCTCTCCACAATGTTGCGCTACTGAGAAATCTTGGGGCTACGAACAGCCACATTTTAGTCACTGTTGTAGCGACATCTCACAACCCATGCATGACAAAGCCTTTAATGATTTTTAATAGATGTAGATTTCCTTTACTTTTCGGCTTGTCCAGCTAACGCGATACTTCCTCGTCCAAGTTTTTTTTTCGAATTGCTTAAAACCGTTTATGCCGTGTTGAAAAGCATAGTCAAAAACCTAGCCAAATGTGTCTGTATCCAATTTTGAACTCGGTTAAACGATCTATCAGAGCATCTTAATAGCACCCCTATTATAGTTGGGACGAAGACTTTCTTTTATATACCGTACCTATAAATGGAATCTCTTTTTCTGAATCCGGATTCTAATGGTTTATATGAGGCTGTTTAAGGACTATCTTTTGACGCAAAAATGAGGTCATTTCGTTATCCCCACTTAGAGCTATTGAAAAAACAATACTTGGTCAAATTTGTTTTGACGCCGTTACGAAAAGAGCCCATTTTAAATTTTGAGCAGAGCAGAAAGAGAAATTTTTAAGAAAAAAATCGTCAGATAATACCAGTTTTTCACGGGCTTTTCGATGGACTAGTTTAAAACTCAAAAAAGTCGAATATAGGCAAAAAAGACGTAACGGCGTCACAAAAAAGTTAATCGTTGGTGCAACTAATTCGTGTTGATAAATGTTCTTATTCCCTGTGCAAAAAACAATTATAAATAGCTACTCATTATCTAACCGAAACTTCCGAGCTTGATGAATACTTTAACACATAGCCTAGACTTGTAGACACCTCAAGGCTGCATCTAACCATTGTATATTTAGAATACATGAAGCGAAGGGAATACGAAAGGCTACCCTTTTTTTTTCTTCATAGACTACTCTCACGCGTGTTAACGGACCTTCACATTTCACAATAACACCGGTCTAGCAAAAGTGTACGTGTCTTTTCACGTTTTCGATTAAAATTTTGTACAAAAGGAGTGTGCGGACACTGAAAACGCGCTTACATCTAAATTTTTTTCTAAAAGCATCTTGTTATCATTCATCTATTATTCTTTTCTGAGGTAAGTCGTTGCTTTGATTTGATTTTTTACAATATGGGTAAGAGTGCAGCGTATGAAAAAATATCGCGAGAAAATGAAAAAAGATAAAGTAAAATACGAAAATTTTCTTAAAAAAGGTGATAATAAAAAAGCAACGAAAACGAAACTCGATGTGGTGGAATTAGCAGCACTGCGTACAAAGAATAATTTACGTCAAAAAAAGTATCTTAATAATAAAACAAAACGATTAATTAATAAACCACCTGTTGCATTTAAAAGTCGTCAATCGTTTGGGAAAGCTATCAAAAAAGTTAATTCGGCACTTCCAAAATGTTTAGGAAAAAAGAACGTTGTTGTCCAGCATATTGCAAAAAAGTTGGGATTGATTGCTCCATCTACGCATGAGCGTGTCACTGCTCAGCATCCAGAAAAGTTGAAAGAGGCGGTTCAAAAGTTTTATGTTCGTGATGATATTTCTTACCAGTTGCCGAGAAAGCGAGATACGATTGTTGTGAAGGATGTTCAGGGGTAAAAAACTGTATATCAAAAACGAATTTTATTCAGTAGTTTGCGTAAAATTTTCGAATTGTTTAGAGACGAAAATAAGGGAGTTGATTTCAGTCGGTCGTCGTTCGCAGAGTTGCGTCCTCCATTGATTGTTCCAAAAGCAGCTTTGTCTCATCGAGTGTGTCTCTGTGTTTACCACGAAACTGTTCATCTTTATTGAAAGCAATTGATAAATATATTAGAAGAGGAGCTTGCAGTTCATTACAAAGTTTTAGAGATTCACAAATGTGTAATACATTGGATGAGGAATGTATGTTTTCTTCTTGTCCCTTATGTGATGAAAATTTCGTGGAAAAAGTTGAAAATAAAGTCTCCAAAGGTCAGTCTCAAATTTCTTGGTCTCAGTGGGTGAATGTACATGGTCGAGCTGTAAAGCAGGAGTTCAACGGAACCATCATTCAGGCAATCCAAGTGCTCAAGTCAAAACGCGAGTATTTTTTGTTTCATGTCTATGTCAAGAGAGAGCAGTCTCGATATTTTGAAAAAGTGATATCGTTGATTTCAAAAAAGCGTGTGTTGTTCAGTGTGACTTTTCTGAGAATTTTGGAATGCAAGATCAGGATGAAATACAAAGTGCCCATTGGAATACAAAGACGTTGTTCATTTTTACAGTTTATGTTTGGGCTGATGGTCAGGGTTTTTCTTTTTGTTTGCCTACGAATAATCTAACTCACGATAAATATGTTATTAATTCGGCGCTTGAAATTATTTTCACAGAAATCAAAGTGTTGGTTCCAGAATTAGAAATTACTGATGTGTTTTCGGATGGTGCAGCTTCATAATTCAAGCAACGATTCATGTTTCGAAATTTAGTACAGCTAGTTCGAGATTTTTCGTTTGATTTAACGTGGAACTTTTGCAACTTTCCACGGAAAAGGTGTTGTAGACGGTATTGGAGGAATAGTCAAACGTTTGGTTTGGGGAGCGGTTTTGGCAGGTCAGACCTGCAGATCAGCAGAAGATTTGGTTCGTATTGCAAAGCAAAAAACAAATAAAATAACATTGATTGAACTTACTAAAAATGACATTGATGCATCAAAAAATAAACTTCAAAATATTTTTGCAGTAGTGAAAGCCGTCCCGGAAACGTTAAAAACTCATTGTATTAAAGTGATTGATAATAAAGCTATTGAATGTAAGTATTATTCGGAAGGTTCTCAAAAGAGAATTATCAGATATAACTGACAAAAGATTTTTTGATATAGTTCTGTCGCTTCTTTGTTTGTGTGAGTGAGGTTTTTTTCTTTCTATTCAGGCTTTATCGTGTGAGTGTGTTTTAGGTAGAAAAAGATCAGGTAATCAAGCAAAAAACGAAAAAAGAATACCAAAAAAACAAAAAATCTATTTTACATCCTGAACCGCTTGAAAAACAGAGAAATTTGGAAAATCCTAGCGCGATTAGAGGCCGGGTCTTCGTCCCGAGCTAGACCAACACTAGTTTTGGTTATCATCCATTAACCGGTTCTAGTGGCTAAGAGCCTCTTCATAATTTCCAGAAATAAACCTTAATAGCTTAAGACGTGGCGGAATTCAAGGAAAGAATCGTTAAAAGTTTCGACACAACCCTAAATGAAAATACTTTGTCACTCAAACCACTTAGATTCATGTTAAAAAGCTAAAAAAAGCACAAACGGTTCCTAAGATCGGTGTGAAAAAACATGGTACAGAAAAGAAAAGAAAAAGGTTTGACGCCGTTACGTTTTGTTTTTTGCACTCAGTAATGAAAAAGTCATTCTAGCTGCCTAATCTTTTTTTCATTGGATGGCCAGCGAAAAGCTCTACAAGATTTGCCAAAGCGAGTTTGTTATTGCACCAATAACTTCAGAAGAATCGCCAGTTTAATATGAAAGACTAAAAATTTAGGGCCTTTTCTTTTGACACCGTTAAGCTCTATAAAAATCGTTCTAATTAATTGAGCTAGTGATAGAAAAATTCCGTTTTTTTATCATAGATGCAGCTTTTGGTGACACGTCGAATGGCGAAAGAATTAGCTTCCTAAATCTTTTCATTTTCGAGAAAACTGTAATTTAGTTATTTTTTTTTTTACAGTAATTTATCGATTTTCAGATATGAAAATTACTTTTAGACTTCTCAATGGCTTGTCTGAACACCGCGAACAGTTCAGAAATTGTAAATCTCGATAGGTAATTCGAGAAACCACTTTGTGAACTTTTTGAACCATTTCTAGGGGTTCACTAAACAAGGCCTCCTAAAGCCTTTTAGACAAAACAGTTTCTGTTGTCGTTTGGCCGATATCAATGTCCAGCTTTCACCATATCGGTACAAACATTTTTTACATTGGAGAAAAATTGTCACATGCCATGGTGGAATCCTCGGAAGATCTCTCCCAGACGGTTCTTATCCGAAAACTTCTCGTCCGGACATTTTTTATCCGGGTAGAACCTACTCTAGAACACATTTTATCTTTATTGTTGGTACATGACATGAAACAGAATTTTCACCTCTTTTTACAGGTATAATTGTTCGGTTAAATTTTTTCAAAGATTCAAGTATTGTTTTAATCTCCATTTCTTGTTCGACTGGTATAAATCTGTTAAAATTTCATTCTATGAAATTATTTAAAAAAATAAAAAGTAAATATCTCATGACTGAGAAATGATACTTAGAATTGAAGCGTCTATCACATTTTACATTTAGATAATTACCTATGAATGGTTGTAGCGTACGCAAGAGTTAAAGGTAACTGTACTCTTTCCATTCATATCTTGTTCTGATCTCTGAAGCATATAGATTCAGGACTTAATTTGTATATTTTCTTATTGAATAATTCAATTACTATATATGGTGACATTTTAACGATGATACAGTCTTAATATGATATGTATTCTTCATTCCTTTTATATTTTCTATGTGGTAGAACAAAATTGTTATTATCCCAAACAATTTTCTTAACGGTTGCTTCGGTACCATTAATTATAAAGTTGTCGAAATCTATGTCCTTTCTTATTATCACCTTACTTTCCACAGACATCGCTAAATACTGATGCATCCCTCCACAATCTTTTTCACCTTCTGAAGGCTTAAGTGTGATCTTACTGTTATTTAATTTTAATGGCTGTTAAAATAACAGCTGTTAAATGACAATTTTTATTCGATTTTTACACAATTAACAGGCCATTTTTTGACATACAGTTAACAGGCTGTCAATGGACAATTAAATGTCAGTTTTCGTCGACCTGGGTATCTCAATGGAGAGAAAGCATTCTCCGATTTAGATAGAATAGTCGAGATCCAAAAGGTACGTTCAGAATCTAAAA